GGTGCTGTCTTCCTTGATCTCAGGAAGGCTTTTGACACTGTTGACCACCAAGTGCTCCTTACAAAGCAGACGTATTTCAATTTTTCGGCAGATTCAATACATTGGGTTAAGTCTTGCTTATCGAACAGAAAACAGTGTGTTTTGGTCAACAGAGTCAAATCTCCCTACCATGTGAACCCTGTGGGGGTTCCACAAGGTTCCATTCTTGGACCATTACTGTTTTTTCTGTACATTTATGACTTTCCTAATGTATGTCCTGAGTTGAATGTGCAAATGTATACCGATGATGCGATCATCTTGGTACATGGGAAAAACACTGAAATTATCTCATCCTGTCTCTCAAATGCTTTGGACAAGGTTCAACATTGGCTGAACAACATTTGCTTACATTTAAATGCAAAAAAACCAGTATGCATGATGTTCAGTAAATGACCAGTCAAATTCGAAGGATCCAATGTGTTTTTAAACGGAGCAGAAATAGAACAAGTCCCCCACTTCAAGTACTTGGAGTCATAATGGACTCAAACTTGACTTTTAGAAACATATTAAAGTATCCAATACCATTAAATTCAACTTGCAAAATTTTAAACAAATTAGACCTTTCTTAACTGTCAATGCTGCAAAGTCATACCTCCACTGTATGATTCTATCCCACATTGAATACTGTTTGACAAACTGGTCGTTTGCTTGTGCCACAAACCTGAAACCCATAGAATAGCTGTACAAGAGAGCTATCAAGGTATTTAACAGAAAGCCAAATTCATACCACCACTGTGCCATCCTTGAAAAACGCAATTTCTTGAATTTTGACAATTTTAAGTATTTTCAAAGTATGTATTTTATTTATAAATGTTTACATGGACTGCCCCCCCCCCCCTCCCTTTGGGGAATTCAACCCAAAAAAACACACTGGACACTGCACTAGAAACCAGAGGAGACTGTGATGCATTTAAATTAGTTAATGTATGTTTAATTCAGTGTGGCATTTAAGTAGGGATGCACCAAGAGATGTACCAATACTGCAAGTATCTGGTATCAGGCAAATCAGTACTAAAATAGGTCACACGTGTATATATAACTGGTATATAATTTACCCAGAAACATTCTGATACCAGGAGCCACATTGAGTAACACTAACAGTAACCATACTGAGTTTATTTTGTGCATTTTTCATAAACATTTTTCATTAAAAGGTTTTTTTTTCATATTCTATCATCTTGTTGTTGCTTATGGTTGTTACTTATTATAGATCAGATCGGTACTTGGTGTTGGACAACACTTTTACAGTTATCAGTTACTACAAAAATGCTCTCACTCTCTGTCTTTAGCACTTAGGTAATTTATAGGGGTCTGGACACAAACTGGTCCTCAACTGATTCACTGATGTAAGTTCTATGCCAAACTGAAAACTTTTTGATCAATCACAGTAGCAAAGCAGATTTATGTCATCTGAGAGTGCCTCAGAGTTAACGTCAATCATGTTGTAATCATGTTGCCAATTCAAAAAGTACGAAAAACGGATTCATGGGGACTGGACACCCTTTTTAACATTCGAGACCCCACATTTTCCCACCCATATCGGCCAATACCAATACACATTTGTGTAAGAATGTTAGTACAAATACAGTTGCAAAACATGTTGAGCTTTTCAGACATCCCTAATATAAGATTACTAAGTGTTTTTTAAACATGGACTAAGTTATTTTTTTCTTTAGGTAATTTGAAAGAAACAAGGCCAATCCAAATTTTGCCAAATGTCTGCAGTGACACTTTTATAACTTATTAGCGATGTACCCTGAATCTTTCTTTCTTGATTTTGTTTTTTTTTAGAGACGGAGATAGTTACATTGGATCTGCAAGTTATTCCAACCTCTTCACCACTGAGTAGTGCTTTGTCAGCCTCTGAGTTTCGATCGACATCATCAGGCACTCCTAATTCTAGCCCTTCACAGCTGTTGGCCATTGCATTATTGTCAAGCCAGGCAGGAAACAGAGATTCAAGCAACAGACCTTCCACATCTCAAGTACTGAAAACATGGCCAGAAACATTCCAGGTCCCTTGGGAACAAATGCCACAAGAAATACGTTCTGCAATTCTAAGCGGCAAGAGACCTAAACCAATGGAGCGACGCCAGATGGTACGAATACTCGTAGATGAAATGAGGAGGTATGAGGCTAACCCCACTCGCTCACAGTGTCTCACTGTGATTCGAAATATCATCAGGCAGTACCCAAAGAGCTTTGCTGATATGACCGCAGACTGGTCACTTTTGGGTTGTGGTTATACATCACTTCTGATTCAAGTGAAAAACCGCATTGAAAATGTGAACCGTGGCGGAAACTATGCACACCACCGAGCCTCTAGATCCAGTTCTACATACAAGAGGGGGCCAACCGACACTTATGGATGTACAAGATTTCAGCCAGAGCTCCCTCCAGAAGAAACTAATGAGACTGTGGAGCAGAACCGCCAAAGACTGGTCGAGATTTACAGGCAGGAGGGGGCAGGTGGAGTTGAAAGAGCAGAGGTCAAAAATCGAATGGAGCTCACATTCTGCCTACAACGTCGTCATATAAATGAACTTCCACCACCTGACGTTGAAAATATGAGAAGCAAATGGCCTTTTCTTTTCACTCAAAAGTGCATATATGCACATTTTGAGTTACTCACAGACATCAATGTGCTTCGTAGCTTGGAACTCAGCATGGTGGAATGTGGGAGAGCCATCACAGAATACTTCAGGGGAAAACCTACCAACAGAGATGTCAAGGATGTCCTCTCTAATTGTGAAGATAATGAGATGGCACTTTGTGTTGTTCAGCTGCTCATGGCACACTTTGGAGAGGACCTAACAGGGCTTGTCCTTCTTACAAATGTAAGTTTATATTATCTTTCTTGCCCTGTGTTTTACATTTTGATTGCCATATACAGTGGGGCAAAAAAGTATTTAGTCAGCCACTAATTGTGCAAGTTCTCCCACTTAAAAAGCTGAGAGAGGCCTGTAATTTCATCCTAGGTATACCTCAACTATGAGAGACAAAATGAGAAAAAAAAATCCAGAAAATCACATTGTCAGATTTTTAAAGAATTTATTTGCAAATTATGGTGGACAATAAGTATTTGGTCACCTACAAACAAACAAGATTTCTGGCTCTCACAGACCTGTAACTTCTTCTTTAAGAGCCTCCTCTGTCCTCCACTTGTTAACGAGTTCAAACAGGTGCCATTAATACAGTTATCAGTATAAAAGACACCTGTCCTCAAACTCAAACAGTCACACTCCAAACTCCACTATGGCCAAGACCAAAGAGCTGTCAAAGGACACCAAAAAACAAAATTGTAGACCTGCACCAGGCTGGGAAGACTGAATCTGCAATAGGTAAGCAGCTTGGTGTGAAGAAATCAACTGTGGGAGCAATTATTAGAAAATGGAAGACATACAAGACCACTGATAATCTCCCTCGATCTGGGGCTCCACGCAAGATCTCACCCCGTGGGGTCAAAAGATCACAAGAACGGTGTGGCTTCGTAAGAAGCATTTCAAGGTCCTGGAGTGGCCTAGCCAGTCTCCAGATCTCAACCCAATAGAAAATCCTTGGAGGGAGTTGAAAGT